GCCGAATTGGGTGTGGGTGACGCATGCGGGCGGCAGCACTGGGGCCTTCGGCGGAGCTCCTATGGGGCCACGAAACGTGTGAGGGGTGTGCCGAAATTGGGTGTGGGTGACGTATGCGGGCGGCAGCACTGGAGCCTTCGGCGGAGCTCCTATGGGGCCACGAAACGTGTGAGGGGTGTGCCGAATTGGGTGTGGGTGACGCATGCGGGCGGCAGCACTGGGGCCTTCGGTGGAGGCTCTATGGAGCCACGAAACGTGTGAGGGGTGTGCCGAAACGCATGCGGGCGGCACTGCTGGGGGGTGGACTATGGGCCACTGTGTGCCGACGCATGCGGGCGGCAGCACTGGGCCTTCGGCGGAGCTCCCTATGGGGCCACGAAGCGTGTGAGGGGTGTGCCGAAATGGGTGTGGGACGCATGCGGGCGGCAGCACTGGGGCCTTCGGCGGAGCTCCCTATGGGGCCACGAAACGTGTGAGGGGTGTGCCGAATTGGGTGTGGGTGACGCATGCGGGCGGCAGCACTGGGGCCTTCGGCGGAGCTCCCTATGGGGCCACGAACGTGTGAGGGGTGTGCCGAATTGGTGTGCGGGACGCATGCGGGCGGCAGCACTGGGCCTTCGGCGGAGCTCCCTATGGGGCCACGAAACGTGTGAGGGGTGTGCCGAATTGGGTGTGCGTGACGCATGCGGGCGGCAGCACTGGGGCCTTCGGCGGAGCTCCCTATGGGGCCACGAAAACGTGTGAGGGGTGTGCCGAATTGGGTGTGGGTGACGCATGCGGGCGGCAGCACTGGGGCCTTCGGCGGAGCTCCTATGGGGCTACGAAACGCTGTACTGGGTGGGTGAAACGCAGGGAAGAGGGGGAGGAGGGAGGAGGGAGAGGGAGGAGGGAGGAGGGAGGAGAGGAGAGGAGAGAGAGAGAGGAGAGGAGAGGAGAGGAGAGGAGAGGAGAGGAGAGGAGAGGAGAGGAGAGGAGAGGAGAGGAGAGGAGAGGAGAGGAGAGGAGAGGACAGGAGGACGCGGGGACCGTTTCTTCAAAACGAGGACCCAACACCACAGGATGGTTGGGAAAAATTGCCCGGCGCGAAGATCTCGAGCTCCCCGGGGCCATCTGCCCGCACATCCTTCCGCGCGCACCACGGCGCGACGCGCTGCCACGCCAAGTCCATTTGAAAGCTGGGGCCTGCCCGTCGAGAAGGAGAGGCCCACGGGGGCTGTTCCCTGTCCTCTGGTGGAGGCCCTGCCAAGAGGCCCACCCTTGCCCTGACCACCTCTTGAAGAAGGACACCCCGCGCAACCGCAACTGCCCCCCTGGCCACGATTCGAGCGCCACGGCCACGAATGCGCCGGCGCGGGCCACAGAGGTCCGAGCCCCTTGCGCGCCGCCCCGACCATTCGATCAACTCGGCGAGCCCTCTGGCGAGTAGACCTCGCGCGCGAGGGGGCTCGCGAATTTCCGCCCCTTCTCGGCGGAGTGGCCGCGAGCCAGATGCCGCGGCTCACTGTAGCTCGCCACTCGCCCTCATGCCCCCACGTTCGCTGACCCCCTCGCCCCCACCACCTGAGCGTCGCCGCAAAAACAGCAGCGACTCGCCGCCCTTCCCAGCTGGACCGCATGAGCGTCCTCTGGAGGCGCCGCGACCCGAGCAGAGCCAACACCTGGGCGGGAGATCGAATACCAACTAGGCGCCTCAAAGCGCCGCGCCCCTTCCAGCAGCGCATCCACACGTGCGCAGAGCTCATCTAGAACGGCGACGCTGCCCTGCGCGCCCACCCAAGCCACAAGCATCACAACTCCGTGCTCAACTATAGCGGCGAGCCAACGAAGAGCCGCCAGGAGATCGACGAGTGCAGGCGCGCTTTCCGGCCCCCATCCGCGATCAACTGCACGGGTTCGAGAGCGGTCGTGCGTCGTCAGCGCAGCGAAACACGCCCGCGCGGCAGCAATCGGGGGCGGCTCGCCCAGCGCGCCCCTTTCCAAGCAGCATTTGGACCGTGCAAGAACGTTGCCAGCAGAGCGATTCTCGACCGAGTATATACTGGGAGCGACGTCCCGTCTGCGCCCCCCACCTCCCTGTGCGCCTACATCTATCTGACCCAGTATGGAATGATCCCATTTTCCTCATGGATCCCACACGGGCGGGCGCGGCGCCACTGCGTTCAACTGGTCGCGGAGGTGGCGCGGACAAGTGGGCACAACAGCAGGCGGGCGCCCAAGTTCTCGGGCCAGTTCCCGGGCAAGCGCGCGCGATTGGCAGCGCGAGAAGGCCGAGACGGGCGGCGAGGCCTCGCGCGAGCACCTGGGCCGAGGCGCGGCCAAGGCGAAGCTCGCAGGCAGGCCGCCGATAGCGTGGAGGAGCTCCCCCCAGCAGTTTAAGCTGAAAGAGCAAGCGGAGAGGGGCCCAAGAAGCAAGCGAAGGCCAAACAGAAAACAGGCCTCGAGGATTGCGAGCTGGGTCGGGGCCCTGGTCCCGCTAAAAAGCGGAACGATATGCGTTTTGCCCGTCTCTGCGCGAGAGCGACGCACGGTCGCCTGCCCGCCTGCACTCGGCACTCAACTTTGGAAAGGAATGCCCCCCGCCAGGTCGCCCTGACTGCCTGCGTCTCGCGGGAAGCTGCGGCCCTCGCCCGCCAGGCCCTGCCGCTGCCCGCGCAGCCAGAGCCTGCAGCGCTGGGATTCGGCGGGTGGAGACCGGGCGTGCGCCGCGAATGGCCCGAGAGAGAAATGCGCCGTCCGCGCACACCGCCCCAGCGCCTCTCGTCGCGGGCGCATCGAGGCCAGCTGGCAGCGAGGGGGGCACGGCCGACGATGACTCGCCGATACATTCGTCCACCTAGCAGCGGCCCTGATCTGCCTGAGACGTCTCTCCTTTCCAGTCGGATTCCCCCGTGCCCGCGGCACCCTCAGTCTGGCTGATACCAAACACGTCTGGGAGTTCCGCTCGCGCGGAGCATTGCGCGTATCTGTCTTGATGTAGGAAATTTAACTGAAGTCCATGTGGCTGAATGCGCACTTCGATCGCGTTCTGCCCCCAGCTGCACGTCGGCCGCGGGGCATCGGACGCGGTGACCCCCGCGATATAAAACAATGCGCCAAACTCCTCGCTGGCCCGAGCGAGCGGCCCCGTCGCGGGAATGCCTCCGACAGCCCGTGCACATCGGAAAAGGCCGTCGGTGGCCGCTTCGCCACATAGGCCCCCCACCTGCTGTCGCAGGAACCACGCGAAAGTACATGGTGCGTCGCTGCCAACCGCTTCCCCCCATCGCAGCAATCTCGCGACGGCTGCGTCTCGACTGGGCAGTTGGGTGAGCCGCTGCAACCCCGCCCGCCCCTGACTCGCGAGCGCCGTGGGCCCCTCGCCCATGCCCCAAGAAGCTCGGGCGGCCAGAGCGCCGCGGGGGCGCAGATGATCTCGCGGGAACTTTGGAGCCCACCAGTGAGACGCGCGCAGAACTGGCAAGGCCACGCGAGAGGCACTGGGCTCGGCAAGCAGTTGTGCAACCAACGACCGCAGCTAGCGCAGTTACCAGGGTAAGCGACGCCCTGCCATGGCGCAATCTCAAGCGCCTCATCGGTGATGCGGGATCCTCTGGCACTGCGCAATACAATACTCGCTTCTGGCATCTCTGCCCCCCCCCCCCCCTCCCCCCTCGCATCCAAGTGAGCCGCGCCATTCAGCGATCGCCCCTCGGCGGCTCGAACGCCTGCTGGCCCAGACCGATCCTAAGAACCCCCAGGAGCGCTCCGAAGGGATGAGCCCCACGCGATAGGACGGCACTCTGATAGCGTCGAAATCATGGGGGGGCGCCTCGATGTGGAGCTGCGTCCGACAGTCTCTGCTGCCCAGGGCGACCCTTCCCAACTTATGTTCGCACGTGTTGGCGGGCTTCCGCAGGATGCTCTTCACAGAACGCGCGCAGCAGTGGGCAACGCATACGTACCACCCGCATGACAGGGGCTCCGAGTGCAGCCGCATCCACGTGGACCTGTAGCGCCTGTCGAATGTTAGTATGATCCTGGCTGGATTCCCAGATGCGTGGAACGTCCAAACCATCTGGTATGGGTGGTGCGCCGTCCTCGGCAAGTGGTACATCGTCGCGTTCCTGCCTCAAGGACAGGAGCGATGGGAGGCAGCGGCCATCGTTTCTGCCATCATAATAACGACGACGTCTAACGCCACACACTCGCCCCTGCCACTACTCCTGACACTGAGCCGATTCGCGGGCACTGCGGCCGCGACATACCCCGCACCCCCACGCAAAAACCACGTCGCCCTCCTCCGCCACGCCCGATGTCGTTCCAGAACAGGTTGACGTTGTCAACGAGGGAACTCGGGCAAAGATTGATCATCCGACGGGGGTCCGCCACTGCACCACCTTAGCACTCGGGGCCTTCCTCCAACCAGGAAACAAAAACATCAAAAAGAGGCACGGGTCCGTCATCTCGAACGCCATATTCAGCCTGGAAAGCATGGTTTCCTCGGCCTCTGTCGCCTGCAATTCCAGCGTTTTCCTTGTCGTCATCCATGCCGTATTCACTGCTTCGTGGACGCTGGAAAAATAAGTCATGGCTGGGCAACCACCCATGGGAGCTAGCGTGTGCACGGAAGCAGGAGCCCTTGAGCCCTTGAGCCAAACTTGAGCCAGGGGGGCTTGAGCCAGAGTTACGGACCACTCCACACACACACACACACACACATTTTGGCGTCGCGACCACGCGCGCGGCAACAGGGCGTAGAAGGTCGGAAAGAGCGAAGCGAAGCACGTGCAGGCACGCCCGAGCACTTAGAAACCACTTGGGGCCCCGCAGCCGCCAGCAGCCATAACCATCCGGGCATAGGTGGCGGGGAAGGGCAGTGAGCTGACGACACTACGGTAAGGTACCCACACACACACACACACACACACACACACACACACACACACACACACACACACACACACACACACGCACACAGGGCAACCGCAGAGAAAGAAAGAGCGGAGGTAGATGCGGCTGGCCTTCGGTGCCAACACGGATGACGGCGCCTCCCCTCCCCCTTGAAGGAGAAGTGGGGCAAGTAGGCGGGAGACGCAGTACAGAAGCTAGTGAGGACACTCATCCGGGTAACAGTGACCGCCACGATTGCCAACCGAAGACACAAACCGGGCACTGGGACAACAAACAAGAGAAATGAGTTGCGAACACAATACGACTTACACCGTCGTGGAGATATATAATGATGAGTCCGATAATCATAAAAGCAGGGACGACAAATTACGGAAATCACAAGCTGCCCCACTACTGAAGACTGCACTGGCAATGCAACGCCCTGCAACCAGCCTCGCCTAGAGCGTCAAAGGTTGCGAATAGGCGCGCTGCGCGCTGCACCACGTCAAAGCCAATCACCCGAGCGGGAAGCACACCGTCATCCAACATGCACAATACAAGAGAAGCACGAAATCTAGCTTACCAACGAATGCAAGCATGTACACATGAAAACGATTATGTGCCCCAAGAGCAGCAAACGCTCATTGCCTGTAGAGCTCGCCGCGGCCCCTCAAAGGATGTCAATTAGACGTGCGTTGACATTGTGCTTACACAGTACAAACGACTGATATCAGCGCGTAGACCCCCAGCGGTCAACATGTGCAACCCACCCTGGGCGCAATCTACACAGTGCAATCGAGGGAAATCTATGAAGCGCAGCATGGATTGCAATGCGCCTCCCCCCCGGGGGAATATCTGCGTGAAAAACTGCTGCCTCTCCCCAAACCCTTCCCCCAGGAGTGCGGTCCGGACCATTTTGAGTGGTGTCAGGGGGTCGCTAAAGCGGGGGGGAAATCGTTCACGGTTTGACAGGATGGGCCTAAATGGCCCCCGCTCTGGCCTCCCAAAACGGCCCCCAAACGAAACAGTACTGTTTGGCCTTGCAAGAAAGCACTCTGAGGAGGCCCGAGACGGCCCAAGAGAGACCAATACGACCCAAGACAGTCCGGAGACCCCAAGACGGTCAAGATGGACTTTTCCAGTGGCCGCATAGCACCAGAGTCCCAGAATGAAGGCAGGTACCCAGGGCCCCCAAGCGATCGGCAGCGTGGTGAATGCAATCGCGAGTACAGAGACAGCTGGTGCAAGTGGGAACCTACTGGAACCCAAACTGACACGTAGACACACGTACAGTTCGTTTTCGCCCAAATACGAATCCCGCAGTGCAATCACTGTTGGATGGAAATTAAGTGAGCGTGATACTTGAACTGATTGGAGAATGGGCCGGACGTACAAATGTAAACTTGACGCCCGACGCATCGCACGGTATGCCTCTCGATCGTTATCAACATCGTCATCATCAACATCATCGACGTCATCATCTTTACGCGCATCATCTTGGTCATCATCACTATTGCCGTCGCCATAATACTCACCAGTGTCATCGTCCGAATCATCAGCACCATCAGTATCACCATCATCAGAACCACCAAATCAGTACCACAACCACCACAGACATCGTCAAAATCATCATTGTCAGCAACACTTTCATCGTCAACAGCATCATCATCATCATGAACACAACAACAACATCATCATCATAGTCTCCCACCCTCATCGGGCATCATGGTTATTTTTTCCGCGTCCCCCTGACCCCTCCTGATCCATTCGTCCCGCCTTGTCCTGACTCACCCCTCCACGACCCTCCTGCTCACCGCCATACTGCCGCAGCTTCACGATCTTGACCTCGTTGGGGTCGAACTTGGGCGCCATCCTGCGACAGATAATTTCCGCCCCAAGACAACGACGACTTGATGAACAAAAAATGGGGATGAGAGGCAGAGGGAGAGAAAGGCGGCAAGAGCAATGGGGAAAGCAGTGGCGCATAGGAAGAATGGGGAGAGACGAGCGGGGAGGGCGAGAAGGACTCTGGGAGCCACCTGGAGCCCCTGGAAACTCTAGGTCGTCAGAGAGGTTCATGGAAGCACTCCTGGAATTAGTCAAGAAGCTCCTAGAAGCCCGAGGAGGGGCCTGCTGGCCAGCAGGCACTGGAGGCCTCGCAGGGTGTCAAAGGGGCGGGCGGCCTGGTCCTCAATGCGTGACACCTTTCGCGGAATCCACTCGGACAGGCACTGGTCGCACGTAGTGACGCACTCGCCCGACTAGTATTGAAATGCATACGCATACACGATGTGAAGTCGGCGGCGCAGAGGAACCTCACGCGCGGTCGGCAGGTGGAGGTGTCAATTGTGACCGAACTTAGTCAGACGCGCCGTCATGAAAGAATCCACCACGGCCATACTGGTTGATGCTGATGGTGGGACAAAGGAGGCACTGCAAAGCCAAGATTCAGCGGCCAATCATCCGGCGGGGCGTGGCTCGACGCCAGGAGTTGAAGCGCGAGCAGCACTCAGGTGCTACTTAGCCAGGTGTGGCGGGATTACAACCTGCACTGCTGTCAGACCAGCCGGCATACGCATACACACACACACATGCACATACCTCTCCGGCCGATAAGCAGGCTGCGGGGCGGGGATGGGGTGAGAATCAGCTCCGTATGACCTCCAGCAGGGGAACCCATTGCCCCCCGAGGTATCGAACCTTCAAGTCAAGTCAAATTACGCAAACTCGCCCCAGGGCAATGCCCAAACAGTCTGCGTGGTAAACATGGCACCCCCGAGCGGGCGGGCTGGGGTCGCACGACCCCTCGGGACCGCCCGCGCGGCAGGAGCGCGGAGGCAAGGATGAGGGAGCGAGGAGGCCGAGCGAAGCGGGCAGCACGGTCCTGGTCGAGGCGAGTGGGGAAGCAGCGCGGGTAGGCTACGGCGGGCCCGCAAGTCTGCGCGAACAAGGTTCCGCTGGGCCAGCGGCGACAGGATCCACCCTGCACCCCATCCTCTGCTTCCTCCGTTCTTCCACGATCATAGTCATCCTCCTCATCATCGTCGTCCTCATCCACATCCTCATCCTCCTCCTCCTCCACCTCCTCCATCTTCTCCTCCTCCTCCTCCTCCTCCTTCTCCTCCTCCTCCTCCTCGTCATCCTCATCCGAATCCTCATATCCTCATCAGCATCACCATCATCACCATCATCACCATCTGCATCATCAGCATCAGCAGTTGCATCATCATCATCATCATCATCATCATCATCATCATCATCATCATCATCATCATCATCATCATCATCATCATCGTCATCGTCATCGTCATCAGCATCAGCATCAGCATCAGCATCAATCATCACCATCACCATCATCATCACCATCAGCATCAGCAGCGTCAGCATCAGCATCAGCATCAGCCTCAGTATCAGTGTCATCATCAATATCAGCATCAGCATCGTCATCATCATCATCATCATCATCATCATCATCATCATCATCATCATCATCATCATCATCATCATCATCATCATCATCTTCCTCATCAGTACCATCGTCATCAGAATCAGCCTCATTAGCATCAGCAGCATCATCATTATCATCAGCATCATCAGCATCAGCATCATCAGCATCCGCAGCAGCATCATCATCGGCATCATCAGCACTATCATCATCAGCAGCACTATCATCATCCGCAGCATCACCATCAGCATCAGCATCAGCATCATCTTCATCAGCATCGTCAGCATCATCATCATCATCATCATCATCATCATCATGAACAGCAGCAATAGAATCATCATCACCAGCATGATCGTCATCATCATCATCATCATCATCATCATCATCATCGTCATCATCATCATCATCATCATCATCATCATCATCAGCAGCAGCATCATCATCATCATCATCATCATCATCATCATCATCATCATCATCATCATCTTCCTCATCAGTATCATCGTCATCAGAATCAGCATCATTAGCATCAGCAGCATCATCATTATCATCAGCATCATCAGCATCAGCATCATCAGCATCCGCAGCAGCATCATCATCGGCATCATCAGCACTATCATCATCAGCAGCAACATAATCCTCACTAACATCATCATAATCTGCATCATCAGTAACACTTTCATCAGCATCGTCATCATCAGCATCATCGTATTGATCATCAGCATCATCATCATCATCAGCAGCAGCATCATTGTCAGCATCATCAACATCATCATCATAATCAGCATCAACATCATCAGCAGGATCAATAGCATCATCATCAGCATGAGCATCAGTGTCAGCATCATCATCGTCAGTTGCAGCAGCATCAGCAGCAGCATCATCATCAACACAGGCATCATCATCATCCTCATCATTATCAGCATCAGTATCATCCGCATCATCAGCATCAGCAGCATCATCATCGTCATCATCATCAGCATCATTATCATCGTTATCATCATCATCATTATCAGTATTGTCATCATCATCATCATCACCACCACCATCAGCCTTCAGCATCAGCATCATCATACTCAGCATCATTTCCTGGCCATCATCATGATCAGGATCATCATCATCAGCATCATCATCACAATATTGTCATCATCAGTATCCCCCATCATAAACATCATCATAATCACCAGCATCAGTAGCATCATCCTCGGCGTCATCAGCATCATCCTCAGTATCATCAGCATCAGCTTCAGCATCACCAGCATCATCAACAGCATCAGCATCGTCAGCACCATCATAACCATCATCAGTATGAGATCCCTTCATTAACAAGATTACCATCAATATAAACAAGCATCAGCATCCTCATCATCGTCCTCATCCGCCTCCGCAGAATCATCATCCACCATCGTCATCGTCATCGCCACCATATTCAGTATCGCCATCATCATCAGCATCAGCATCATCATCAGAATCGTCCTCATCCTCGTCATCGTCACCACCATCATCATCATCATCATCAACAACAACATCATCAGTGTCCTCATGATCATCATCGGCGTCGTCGTTTTCCTCATCGTCGTCGCCATCGTCCTCGCCATCCTCATCGTCATCGTCGTAGTCGTCGTCGCCGTCATCAGCATCGTCATCGTAGTCTTCGCCATCGCCATCATCGGCAGGCCTTGGTAGCTCGCCCTGTCACTCCTGCTGTTCATCATTCATTGTCGTCGTCTTCGACGTCGTCATCATCACCATTCCCGTCTAACGACTCATACTTTTCATCCTCCTCGTTTTCCTCCTTACTCTATTTCCTCGTCCCCCTCCTCCTCCTCCTCCTCCTCCTCCTCATCCTCCTCCTCTTCCTCAGTATGATCTTCATTGTTGTCCTCTTGTGCTCGTCACCGTCGTAGCCGTCGTCGGCGTCCCGCGTCGTCGCTAACCTTGGTGACAACCTGCATCGCCACCGACATCGCCAACGCCATCACCAACAAGATTGCCATCAAAAACTTGTGCACGACAATCACCGTCATAGCCATCGCCGATAATCGAGGCGAGCAAAGCTCGCAGAATAGTTCGACGTGATCCCCGCAACGATGCTAAGCAAAAATGCGCCTTTATCTAACAAGGCGGTTACACAGGATTATGTGAACCGCCTCTCCGTAAGGCTTCTTTATAAACATGTGTATAAATAGATATGTATGTATTGGGGAACTACGCGCGCACTAGGCGCGCGCTAAGTGACTAGCTCAGCGCAAGCAGGGGATTTGAGGTGAATACATGGGGGCAAAAGTAAGTGCAGGACAATCGATGGTTCTCTGAAGATTCACTGAAGACGGGAAACCATGACGAATGAGGACGCCAAAAAAGACAACCAAAGGACTTAGGGAGCGAAAATGATAGGAAAACCTTTGGAAAATCACTCGACGCGAAAGTCCCCATATGTGTATCTATTTGCACGGGTCTGTTCCACTGCGAGCGTCTGGGTGCGAGGGGGTTATGTGTAGGAGTGGATCTGAATAATAAAGGCTGAGAGCGGGTGAGTCTGTGTGCTTGGGTCTGTGTGTGAGCAGGTCTGGTGCGAGTGATTCGATGGAGACCGGTGTGGGGGGTCCCTGGAACCCACCCGGGAAACCCCCGAAACAAACCCGAGTTGGGTTTTTGTTTCGTGGGTTTTTCGGGGATGTCCCGGGAGCGATCGGACAAACCCCTTCAAATCGCAATTCGGGCTAACGCCCCGGAAACCCCCCAACTCGAGATTTTTCCCCTTATCCTAAGATGGGGTTCTTGTTATTACTTGGACGCCTCCTACTCCTCCTTCTCCTCCCTCCTCCTCTTTTCTCCTCCCCTCCTGTCGGACTTACTCATACTCCCACTTGCTCATACACAGACTTACTCATACTACTCACACCCAGACGTACTCATACACAGACTCACTCATACCCAGACTTACTCATACACAGTATTAGTCATACTCAGACTTACTCATACCCAGACGTACACATACACAGACTTTCTCATACACAGACCTACTCATGCCCAGACTTACTCATACACAGACTTACTCATACACAGACTTACTCATACTCAGCACCCCTAAGGGGAGCCGCCAGGGGTGGTTGCACGGGCTCGTTCGCGGCCATTTTGTGGGGATGTCTCAGGCGGTTTGCCTGTTTCTGGGCCCAACATCCTTCGCTTGGAGAGCAGATTGTGAGGATGTCTCAGGCGGGGCGCTGGTTTCAGCACCCCTAAGGGGAGCCGCCAGGGGTGGTTGCACGGGCTCGTTCGCGGCCATTTTGTGGGGATGTCTCAGGCGGTTTGCTTGTTTCTGGGCCCAACATCCTTCGCTTGGAGAGCAGATTGTGAGGATGTCTCAGGCGGGGCGCTGGTTTCAGCACCCCTAAGGGGAGCCGCCAGGGGTGGTTGCACGGGCTCGTTCGCGGCCATTTTGTGGGGATGTCTCAGGCGGTTTGCCTGTTTCTGGGCCCAACATCCTTCGCTTGGAGAGCAGATTGTGAGGATGTCTCAGGCGGGGCGCTGGTTTCAGCACCCCTAAGGGGAGCCGCCAGGGGTGGTTGCACGGGCTCGTTCGCGGCCATTTTGTGGGGATGTCTCAGGCGGTTTGCTTGTTTCTGGGCCCAACATCCTTCGCTTTCGGAGCAGATTTGGAGGATGTCTCGAGCGAGGCGCTCATTTTCACCCCCCAGGTGGGCCAGATTTTGAGGATGTCTCGATCGGTTTGCTTGTTTTGGTGGCCAGGCTCGTGGGCGCAGATTCTTCTCAGGATGCCACAGGAGGCTCCAACAGGCTCCAGGAGGCCCCAGGAGACCACATGAGGTCCCAGGAGGCATCAGGAGGCCACAGAAAGACTCAAGAGGCCACAGGATGTCCCAAGAGGCTCCAGGAGGCCCCAGGAAGCTCCAGAAGGCCTCAGGAAACCACAGGAGGCCCCAGGAGGCAACAGGAAGCGCCAGGAGGCCTCGGAAGGCAACAGGAGGCCCCGAGAGGCCCCAGGAGCAGGAGGCCTCAGAAGGCAACAGGAGTGGCTCCAATCCCATGTGTTTTACGTATGCTCCTATCGATTGGGCCTCACCTGGAGCACGATTCTTTGATGTTCTACGTATGTTTCTATAGATGGTCCTTCTCCTGTGTACACAATCCTAAATGTTTTACTCATGTTCCTATGTATTGGGCCTCTCCTGGGGCACGAGTCCTTGGTGTTTTACGCGTGTTCCTATAGATTGCCCTTCTCCTGTGGCTCTAATCCGCAATGTTTTATGTACGTCTGTTGCTATAGATTGCGCCTCTCCTGGGGCACGAAACCTTCCTAGGAGGTCCCAGGAGGTCCCAAGAGGCTCCTGGAGACCCCAGGAAGCCCCAGTAGGTTTCAGGAGGCCCCAGGAGGCCCCAGGCTCATGCACAGAGACGCGCTCGTACTACTGAGGCTCATTCACACTCCAATTCATTCGCAGTTAGATTGATGTCCAGACCGTCACAACTGAAGCCCGTTAATATTCGAA